TGCTGCAATACCCTGCTGGCCGATAGCGAAGAACTGGCAACCCGACCTGATTGGGGGTTGCTACGATCCTCTAGATTACATCCTGGCCAACATCTCGATCGTACTTATCACTGATGTCCTAGTTCTTCTGTAAGACTTTCTCGCATGCACCAAACAACCGATGCTGACATTGCACCAGGATTCCGACATGGATAATCTGGGACTTGCAAATGCCACTCAAGCGCAAGATTGTTACAGTATCGTTTCTCTCTCTCGGTCTCATCGTAATAGCAATCGGCGCCGTGCGATTCGTTTGGCTCATCGACGCTTTCAAAGGCAAAACGAAAAGCTACAGTGTCAAAGCGTCCTACTCTGCAATCGAGTCTAGTGTCGCTATCATTGGAACCTCGGGGCCAACCATCAAATACATACTGTCACGCTTCATACCCTGGCTCCGTCCTTCATTTGAGCGCTCGATCGCGAACAAGAACTCATACGACGCCTATGGGAACCACTCGGATGTTGCTGCTAGGCGAGCGAGGTCACATTACGGGACGAAAAGTGGATATGATGATTTGGACATGGTGAGCGTTCACCATGAACAGTTCGAGATGAAGAGCGGTTGGCAAAAGAAGAGGGGGCGGGATGACGACGCAAGAAGCGATGAGCAGCACATCACAGGCGAAGGTCACGGCATCAACAAGACAGTGGAATGGATGGTAGACACGAAAGAGCGCTCGCATATTAGCAAAACAATCTCGGATGATCCAAATGTCGCTAACGACAAGCCTGCGACAAGTCCCGCACAAATCATTTAGGTTGGAGGTGTGTTGGGTCAGCAAGAACATTACATACATGGCGAGTTGTGCTATGAGTATAGCTTTGATCCAACGATTTTCCTAAGTGCACGTTTGTTGAAGAAACGAATTTGCGATGTGAAATGAGTCCGCTGTTGGGCGGCGTTCGGCCGCAGCTGACCCGCGCTCGCTGCCGGTCTTGTTTCCGGATCTTGGGGCGCGGTATACCCGATTCGGCGACTTCCCCTCAATCTCAATTGCCTGGCCCGCGGTTGGCCGAGCCATAAGACGGTATCTCCACCGACACTGGGCATCGCAGATATCTGAACAATGTCGCGGATCAATGGAGCTGAAGTAGCAAAGCACAGCAGCAAGAAGGATTGCTGGATAGTGCTGGATTCAAAAGCGTATGATGTGACCAACTTCCTGGCGGACCACCCAGGTGGCGCACCGATCATCTTGAAGAATGCCGGGTCGGTGAGTACAATGGCGCGGCTCAAAGATCAAGAGCTGATGTTAGACAGGATGCGACAGAAGAGTTCAAGAAATACCACCCGTTGAGTTATCTGGAGGATTATCTGCCTAAAGATGCCTTCCTCGGTCCCGTCGACCCCAACACGTTTGGTCAGCTACGCCAGATCAAGAGCGAAGAGTCGACGAAGCCGTCTGACACCGATCCAAACTCCAAGGAAATCCCACATGTGAGCCTTTGCGTCTCCACGACCGACTTTGAGGCAGCGGCAAAGGCTGTCATGCCTCACAAGTCGTACGTCTACGCGTCGGGTTCTGCGAACACTGGCGCGTCGATCAGAGGCAACATAGATGACTGGGGGCGCATCAACTTCCGTCCGCGTGTGATGCGCAACGTCGGCGATGTAGACACGCGCCGCAAGATCTTCGGACACAGCTCGCCATACCCATTCTACATCTCGCCTATGGGAACAATGGGCGCCATCCACGAAGCTGCCGAGCCAGAAATGATCCGGGGCGCAGTGCGCAAGGGCATCCACAAAGTCGTCAGTACTGCAAGTTCGAAGAGCAGCGAGCAGATCATGCAGAGCTACAAAGATGAGCAGCAGAGGCTTGGTAACAACAGCACAACGCAATTGTTTTACCAATACTACATGCCTGTCGACCGCAATAAGGCCATCGAACTTATGCGCATCGTCAAGCGCTGCGGTTATAATGGCCTCTGGATAACAGTCGACACACCCGTTCTTGGAAAGCGAACAGCGGATCGCTATCTCCAGGCTGAGGAGGCGCTAGCAGTCGGGCTCGCAGAAGAAAGTACAGCGGAATGGGAGACCGGCGGCGACAACGCTTTCGCGCCCGCTATGGGCGGACGGCCAGTTCAGGGTCAGTTGAGCCCACATACGACCTGGGAAGATCTCGAGTGGATTCGCAAGGAGTGGGATGGCCCAATCGTGCTGAAGGGCGTGCAGTGTGCGGATGACGCGAAGCTTGCGATGGAGTATGGCTGTGATGGGATTCTGCTAAGCAACCATGGTGGCAGGCAATTGCACACAGCACCCAGTGCGCTCATGACGCTGCTGGAGATTCGAACGTACTGCCCGGAAGTCTTGGGAAAACTAGAGGTCTTCCTCGATGGCGGTCTGAGAGATGGAAACGACGTGCTAAAAGCGTTGTGTCTGGGTGCAACAGCCGTAGGCGTAGGAAGACCCTTCCTATACGCGCTTGGAGCGTATGGGTCCAAGGGCGTCGAGAGATGCGTTGACAGTAAGTTTGGTCGTGTTTTAACCAGGGTAATATACTGACATGCGACAGTTCTTGCGGATGAGCTGCAGACTGGTATGCGCTTGTTGGGCATAACATCACTGGATCAGTGCAGGCCTGAGATGGTTAATGCGACGCGTCTGCTAAACGAAATGTGGCGGCCAGAGCAGCTGAGTCTGAAGAGCAAGCTGTAAAGGTAGGGTGTGTTGGTTACGTGGGTCATTCATTGTTCCAAGTTTCAAGTTTTGCGAGCGAATGAAATGGAATTTGGATTGAACACAGCGTGCATTACCATTCCAACCAATTCAATGACTACACTTGCATGATTATGAATCGTAGTCTGCCTTTCAGTGTTGTTACCGATGTCGCCGGCCCCGCCGCCCGCTGATGCAAAGTTTTCTTACCCCTCACACCCCACCCCACCACGTTGATCGATTGGGTTATACAATAACAATTTCGCGATTGTTCCATCAATTCCTAGAGAAGGACAGATGGCCGAGCTGGTTATGGCGCCAGGTTAAGGTTACTCTTAACATATATTCCTGGTCACGAAAGGTTAGTTATGTCCTAATAACGCACGCAATTTAAATCCTAACATCTAATAGTGGCGTGGGTTCGAGTCCCACTCTGTTCAGCATTCGTCTGGCATTGTCAGATACTCCAGGATACATTTTTTTTAGTGTTTTGGGCGCCCATGAGCGTTGGTCACTAAGCCCATGCTCTGACACCCTCCCACCCACTCTCTTCCTATTTAGATAGAAGGAGGCTTTGCTTTTTGTACTCTGGTATTGATCTAGATGCTATTGAGACTTTGTTTGTAATTTTATATAGTGCATATATACGTTGCGCTGTCATAGAGCTTGCGCAGTCACTTCGCGTCTTATCACGTTGGGTCGAACTCGAATCAGCACGCAAGTCGTTGCATAGAAGGCTTCTTGAAGACATCATAGCTTATAGAGTTGAACAAGCTATTGTATTGCACCTCAAATGTTGGTATATCTCACTTTTTCGCAACAGCGACGGCCGCCACACAGGGAAAACCCTCCACCTCGACCACATCCGCACCCTTCTTCCCATTCAAAGGCCTCTGGGTCTTCACCGCTGCCTTCTTTCCAGCAAGGTTCAACTGCTTCGCGAACTCCTCGTTCTCTTCATCGGTCCACTTTGGTCCCATGTTCTTCCACATACCGAGCATGTAGCCGCAAGTCTCCTCCGCAGTCTTCGATGCATAATATACGGTCTTCTCGTGCATCTCAACGTCTTTGAATCCAGCACCTTCCATGATCTTCTTCACATGCAAAGCTTCGAACCACGCATCTGCGATAGGCCAGCGGAATAGTGGGTCGTGTGGTTTGACGGCTTTCTGCGCTTCGTGTACTATAGCCATATGGCCTGTAGACTTCCAGGTAGTGACAACAGCCGTCCCTCCTGGCTTGAGAGTGCGATAGATCTCCGCCGCACCCTTTTCTCCGTCAGAGAAGAACATGATGCCCATGTTGGTGATGGAGTGCGTAAACCTCTCGTCGGGGAATGTCAGATTGACTCCGTCCATCACTTCGAAGGATAAAGTTGCCGCGGAAGTTGTAGCTGGAAAGGCGCGGCGTGCTAGATCGACCATCGGTTTTGCATTATCGACACAGGCTGCCTTGAGCGGAGTGTCTGGGTATTTGTACAAAAGCTCTTGCGCAGCGATACCATTTCCACACGCATTGTCCAGAACGACGGAGTTGGAATCGACTGCGGGCAACATTTCGATGAGGTGCATGGCAACTTCGCGGGTGCAGCCACCGGTTGCAGCCTCGTAGGTCGAAGCAAGCATCTCGAACATCTCGCTGGAGTTCATGTTGGGTTGGCTCATGATGATGAAATCTTTACTATTGTATTTCGAGTGATACTATGCATTAGATACTAGCATGATGCTAGGTTAGCAAGGTGCTTATATACGGCTTACGGCGGACGAAAAGACCAAGAAGGAAGGATTGTGGCTGGTGCGGGGGTAGACGAGAATGCGCGTAACGAGAAGTAAGCCTGAAATTCCTCATGTTTCTTGTTTGACCGAATTGATACAAGATGCTCGGTTGGAGTTCGTTGAAAAGTGTCTGCGTTTCCTTTGGACTCGGGCTCAGAGGCTTTCACATGCACCCTGGGGCCTAAATGAAGTCGCCGACTGCAACTTGAGTTATTGCGCGCTTCTTAGGCAACATAGACTAGAGATGGGCGTAGTACGCCCCGTCGTTGCTCTAGCTGTATTAAGCAGACACAAGGGTGACGATGAGTCGTTTAACGCTAAACAGGCTTACCCATCTATCCACGGAAAGTCACCGCATTTACTTCGCTATTGTACCTCTCAGAGTACAAAGCGAGTACTTCAAGAAGAAAGCAATAACTGGGCACTTTTCAAGATGAAGAAGTATTTGAAGTCTGTACTGTCAGTCTTGGGATGACGCGGACTAAACCAAGACTTTCCAGGGCGTATGCTTACAGCTAATGTCAGATCTTTGCATCCTCTTTGAACCTAATCAATCCATCCTGAAAGGTCGTCGCAACATGCACACCACTCTCATAGTCCCACATACGGCTATTATGTAGTGCTCTGCCTCCCGTAGCTCGAGTAAGCCATGCTTCTTGCACAAACCATTTTCGTCCGTCCTTATCGCCGCCCTTATACCCCTCCAGATTACAGAGTGGTAGCGGACCATCTTCCCACAATGTCCTGTCGGCGTTCGGATGATCTATCCGCGATTCATTAGGCATGATGAGGTCCTTGATGCCGACATGGAAGATGACGCTGTGAGACAGCGACGCCATGCGTTTGTAACCCCGAGGCCGGTCGAGATGGTTTGGCACAATGAATAGCGAGTTACGATCCGATGCGTACAAGTGTGCACAGGCGTGCATGTTAGCCTCTCGTGTCAATGTGAGCTTCTGCTCGGATCCCGAGGGAGGTGGATATGTTGCGGTTGGTAATGGAAGTGCACCGCGTAGCGTGTAGAAGGTCAGTTGCTTGCGATCGAGTGGATGCCGACTCTGATTGTACTTCGACATGTCAGCCTTGCGGATGTGCAAGCCGGCGATGGGGTTAAAGTGGTCGGGATGAGCTGGAAGGTAAGTTTCCCGGAAATGCTGCAGAGGTAGGAGTACGAAGTTAGTAAATGTCTCACATCCACTTCGTACAAGTAGAATTACCTCGGAATCATTGCTTGGAGCAGCCGCATGCTCCATTGGCTCGTCTTCTTTGCCTTCTAGTGCGTCGCGATACACCTCTTTCAGGTCAACAGACTCTTGCATGTCGAACGGTGAGCTTTCTTTGCGTTTGAAGGAGCAGGTACAGGTAAACATATCTCCGTCGGCTGCAACCTGGCTTACGGTCACATTTCGTGTGCAATAATTGTAACCGTCTCGAATCTTTCGCACACGATAGGTGTAGTGTTCATCAGGCTTGCCCCCTAGTACAAACCACCCGGTAATGTTCTAGCATTTTGTTCAGTTGTGGTTGGAGCAGAACTGTCGCTAAAGCTTACATGTATGAGAAATCCTTCTGCGACAGTCTGTGCAGCAGCCCATGCGGCTTGCGCAAACACGTGGCCGCCGTACGTCCCATTTTCACCACCAGTCGGGGAGTAGGCTTTGACGATGGAGCGGAATGTCCAGTTGTCAATGCGTTCGAGTGCGATCACCCTTTCGAATGGCAGCACCTGCTTGTCAGGTGTAAAGTAGGGACGCACGACCATGGCAGCGACTACGATGTCTGAAATGATGTAGAAATACGCTGATGCTTGATAGAGGCCATCATCATATTGGGCAGATGTTGCGATGTGCAGCTGGTACACAGATGTGGCTGGCGCTAATGAGTTACCTCGGAACGGGCGGGGTTCGGATGAATGACGGCGCAAGCTATCAACCTCCACTAGTGCAATCAAGCCACACGCGCTTCGCGTGAGACGCGATGGGACCTGCTCCTCATGTGGTGCTATAATGAGCATGCGTGGCAAGAATATGTACATGTTATATCGCCCCCACCTCATCTTCCAGCCCTCTTCTTTAGCACCCATAGCCGGCTGAAGTAAAATACAAGACCGCAAAGCCATATTCCTACAAGGATCGCTGCCTGAATCGGTGCAAATACAGCGCCTCTGACTACGACGAAACCACTGATTATGGCGAACAGTATAGGGATGAGGATGAACGGCTTCACGGGTCGCGGTAGATCGGGCTCACGGAATCGCAAAATGATGGCACCAAGAACCGTGAGGAAGAAGAAAGCATACTCAGCAAGGCCATTGAGAGTAAGCAAGATGCGCATGTTTCCGAGCAGAATGTATACCGCTGAGAGAACGGTGTTGAGTATGAGAGCATTGCTAGCAGTTGTTAGCAGGAGATGATCGGACGTGACGGCCTACATACATTGGTGACTCTCCATCATCCATAGCCGTGTCAGCTGCCTCGCTCGAATCAGCGCGTTTAGTCACCTTCAGAGTACCGACGCGACCGACTGTGCCCAGAATTTGCGGGAACCAATTGTTGTTAGATGCTGCGACGGTCATCCTACCAGCCACGAAGGAGTTTCCTAGGGCGGAGCCTGCAATGACGAGACATATGAGCGCGGTAGCGAAGTAAGCTACTCCCTTGCCGAGGAAGTGGGTAACAGCCGTCTAAGACATATCAGTATAAAGGTGTTATACATGACTCTGAAGGACTTACCACAGCAGCAGCATCTGTTGTCGACACTACCTTCCAAGGGAGAAGAACGTAGTAGACAGCGTTGGCGGCGACATAGCATAGTATGATTGTGGGTATAGCGGTATTGATGGAAAGTGGTAGTTGGCGACTGGGTTGACGCAATTCTGCCGCGACGTAATTCGCCTTGTCCCAGCCGGAATACGCCCACAAAGCTCCGTACAACGCTGTACTGTAAAAGCCGAGTGACTCCCACGTAGTCACTTTCGTCCAATCGAATTTCGACCCATCGGGCAGTATCGTGTCTCTTGGAGAGAACCAATTGTTTTGATGCCAATCGCGACCTCCAAGGTCCTTACTCTTTCCGACAAAGACAAAGACGACCACTAAACCAGATACGATAAGGAGAAAAATGGTAAGCAGCTTTATGGCGACGAAGAAACTAGACAGCCGAGTACTTGTCTTGGTGCTAATGGAGTTCAACGTCGTTACAAATACTAAGACAAGTAGAGACAATAGCTTGTGGGTGAGAGGCGGATCTGGTTCGTTCACGCCCAAACTGGAGTAAATGGACTCCACAAATACTATGCTGAGAATAGCAAGGGTAGCAGGCATGGTTGCCACCACCCAAGACCAAGCAGCCATGTATCCAAAGACGTCGCCATAGATGTAGGTGAGATAAGGCTGGATTCCGCCTTCTCCAGGGAATGCGGTACCTAGTTCAGCCATTGTCAAAGCACCTGTCCATGCTAAAACTCCACCGACTAGCCATACGAGGAGTCCAGCACCCGGTGACGGAACGTTCGCATCGATAGGCCCAGGCGACGAAAATACTCCCGAGCCGATGACGATGCTTATCAGCAGCGCGAACCCATCCAGCGCACCAAGATTGCGAGCAAAGGTGTTTCGCGTCGCCGTAACGTCATCGTGTTCTTCGTCCGGGGCATACGATGTCGTGGATTCTTGGCGGAGTAGAGGCGCAGTCTCTGAGGGTGTCATTGTCGCGTTCTCGAGTTTCAGAGGTTTGATGAGCCAATCGTCGCTTTTGCCGAGGTTGTCACGCGTCACACGCGTCAACGTGATGTGTGTAGGACGCGTCCGGTCCTTTTTGGGCCGCAGGAGTCGCAATTCTTTATTGTCTGGTGCTGTCTGAGCTAGAGCAACTAATACCCAATGCTGTGGTTGTGTGAAAGCAAAAGGTGGCTGGCTAAGCCGCGCGACACTATCGCGTCAGGATGAACCGAACTTACGTCATCCCCTTTCCCCACCAACCGCCGCGGCATCGAAACCTGTGACTTCACATTGCGGTCTTTGCAGGATCAGAATCAGAATCCCACAGTTTTTCAGAGGCTCCACTTCATCCGTTCTTCTCTGTATCGTTACGCATAACGTCATACGGCATATTCACGGCCTGGCAGCTTTCGTTTTCCCGATTCTGGAGCTCGAGACTCTGCAGCCAAGGTTCTCGCCCAGGCCCGTATTACGCGTGTTGAGTGCATCTGAAAACCACTTATTGTGTGGATTGAAAAGCCAAGCAAATATGTACACTTTGCAAGCATATTTGTAGGTGTAGCTCGATGTGAGCCCTTCTCAGTATGTATAGCGCCAGCGGCATTAGCAAAGAACCCTGTTTTAGCTAAGAGCTAGAACCTAGTTATATAAAAGCACTTATAGTTATATTCTTACTACTATTTTTTTTTTTTACTAAATTATAAAGTCTTTAGTATATAGCTAATATACTACTAAAGTTAGTATATTACTTCTTATAGTTACTTAAACTCTTATTAAGTTTATTTTTAACTATTTTAAATTTTTTTAAGTATACTTAAAAAATAATAAAGTAATATAAGTTATAAAAAGCTATACTATTAGCTTAGTAAGTAGCTTTTAAGTTAGTATATACTTTTTTAAAAGCTACTTTATACTTTAGTATAAATATATATAAGTATAACTTTATTTTTTTAACTTAAGCTAAGTTTAAGTTAATTATAAGTAAGTATTAGCTACTTAATTTTTTTTAGCTTTTTTAAAGTTAATAGCTAGTTTATTATAGTACTATTAGTAATATTATTATTAATTAGTAAAATAGTATAATTAGTAAAAGTTATAATTAAAGTAATATAATAAAAAAAAGATTAGTTTAGTATATTATCTTTATACTAGCTACTACTTATATAATTATAATATAGCTAAAAAAGCTTTATAGTTTATAAAAATATATACTTAAAGTACTATTAACTAAACTATAGTTTTACTTTATAAAAGAAAAAAAATAGCTTATATACTTAAATATTAAGATTAGAATAGGCTAGAATAGATGTAGTAGTAGTAGTAGTAATTAGCGAAGGAGCTTAGAGTCTTGACAAGACTAACGACCTGGTCTGTTTTTACTACAGGCCATGGTTCACCGTTAATGTGTATTGCCTTCTCTTTCGCAGAGCATAATTCATAACAGACAACATTGACGGCAGAACCAAATGAAGGAGTCCGATGTGTGTCTGTGCACGCCAACCTAAGGAAAAGATGAACAGCCTGGAGCCTACGTTGACGTTAGGTCACCTACTTTGCAAGGTTATAGGTCAATGTAGTCTACAGACATGTTCAGTTTTTTGTATAAGGTGTGCGACCATGTCTGAGGGGTAGAAGCCCAGCTCATGAGCGACGATGAATGTCCCACGCATCGCGACGATACCGGCCTGCTTCTGTAGTGGCACAGGCAGCGACGAGACGACAGTCATAGTTAGCACATGGCGCACTTGTGACATTTACAGAAACCTGTTCCCGCTCACGCTCACATGGGAAATCGTGGGGAGGTTAAGCTTAAATTCATAGTGCGATGACAGACCAATGACGCTGGGTGGGTTCGTCGGCTTTGTCGGCCCTTGCAGGCTTAGCGGGCTGTATAGGGCTTAGCGCTGCGCATCATCATGGCGACGTCATTCTTGGTGAGCATGCAGTTTGCTTGCAGCTGCTTAAAGCTCTGGATCCCTTGTCGAACTTTCCTCTATCACACACTGCTTTCTTGCAAGATACCCCAGGCCTTATCAATTGCATTCAGGTCTCTTTCTCAAATTCATTGACTACACAATCACCTTCATACCAAACCATGTTCTCGAGACAAGCAACTCAGAATGCGCGCTTTGCAGCACGGTGTGCTCGCCGCCCAGCTGCGCGGGTAGCCAACCCTCAGTTCCGCGCCCAGAAGCCCCGCTTCCAGTCCACCGAGTCAGCAACCTCCGGCAACGCGGGCGCCGGCTCACATGCCGCCATCGGTGCCGCTTCTGGTGCCCTTGCTGCAGTCACCGTCGGCTACATCTTCTACAGGCAATCAGGCGCCCGTGACGTTGTGGTGGCTTCCAAGACTGCCAAAGGCTACGTCAGCTCAGCTACACAGAAGATCAAGGAGCAGACACCTGAACCCAACGAGGCGCTGCAATGGCTACGCAACGCCGCGCAGAGCTACGCAGCCTTCATCCCCGGTGCCAAGGGCTACGTTGATTCTGCATTCGATGACCTCGATGCCATTCGCGCAAAGCACGGCAAGGAGGTCGACCAAATCGTCACCGAAGCATACGATGAAATGCGCCAGGTCCTCGGCAATGGCGACATGAGCCTTGTTACCGCACACAAGACTTGGGACGTCATTACCAAGCACATGAGCCGCATCGCAGATCTCGCTGGCGACGCGTCGCAGCAGATCATGGACAACCACCCTCAACTCAAGGAGAAGGTCGGCGGTAACATCGACAAGCTCAAGGAGTACGGCGACAAGTATGGTCCTGAGGCCAAGAAGGAGGTCGATAGAACATGGAAGCAAATCAGCGACGTCGTCAAGACCGGCGTGAGCGCATCCAACATCGAAAAGATCCGCAGCATCGTACAAGAAAAGGTTGACAAGCTTAAGAAGATGGGTGACGAGGCCTGGGACAAGGGTATGGAGCAGGCTAAGCCCTACCTTGACAAGAACCCTCAGGTCAAGAAGATTGTGGAGGAGAACGCAGATGCGCTCAAGGGCGGAAACGTACAAGAGCTGTACGAGCGCGTCAAGTCTGCT